CCCGACACCAGATCATTGTGGCTAGTACTAGGTTGATGGTATGAGTGTATCATGTTTTGGTTCACATGACACAAGCCCACGAAGAGGTACCATGTGGAAGATGTGCATCATACATTTTTTTCGGGAGATCCTCTATCCCCTGTGGGGTACTGGTGGTGTTGCTTTCCTCATAACCACATCTACGTTTTATTGATCCTTGAATTAGGTCTGGGTGGAACATAATCTCTCGTCAGTGCTCTGATTTCATCATGAATTTCTCTTTTTACAGGCTTGAGCAGTTCAATGACACGTTTGAAGAGAACTGTTTAGTGAAGGATATCGGCGAAGATGGAAAAATCAAGTCTCCTGGCTCTCCTTTGATTCGCTTGTCTGAAATAGACTCTGCCTCTTCACAAAAAACTCTTCATCTTGAACCTATTAAGGTTGGATTTGCTGCTTTCCACATCAAGCACACGCTTATCCTCCGCATAGAATTTTCTATATGTCTATAAATAAATGAGAGTTAATGTCGCATCGTTGGAAAAAAATGCTCTTAAGTGCGACTGTCCTGGCAGCACTTTGATAAAGGACACTGCCAACCTCTTGTGTGGCCATCACTGGTAGAATCTATCACTCTTACAGATTAACGCTAATGCCTGCTGTAATAGTTGATCCTTTGGTAAGGAAATGCCATGTCCTGCCTCTTTTGTCTGTCGGGTTGATCTGAAGTTAGAAGTAACCTGGGACTGATGCCTAGTCCAGATCGCGTTTGGAATGTTACCTTGGATTTGAAGCTCTTTTGACATCATCACAACAGTGGAAAAAGGTCTTGTCTCAGTACATTACAGACTGAAAAGGATAAACTATTTTTTCTTCTGATAATGCCGCTTCATCCATAGCCATATAGCTGACACTAGTTGATTTTCTAAATAAATCTGATGCTAGTTATATTTTCATATCAGTGGATCATTTCTGCAAGTTATTAGTTTTTATTGTTCATGTTTGTTATGCAAATTTCCTACAGGATATCTGGTACTCCACGTGTAAAACCAATGTACTCTTATCTTGAGAGGAGGATGACGTCCAATTTTAACTATGACGTAAGCTCCAGTGTTCACTTGGTAAAGAAATTTCTTGTGGATACTATCCAAAGCACTACTTGAAGGGAAGCAGTAAGAACACAGATGAAGATATGTCTTTTGGTGGATGGTGTGAAATTGTTTGTTTCCCTGCAGATAGATGCCCCTCAACAGCTGTTGCGCAGGGG